TTCTCACAAGGGAAAACATGATTATTGTAGATTAAACAGGAACATTTCCTTGGGCAAGACATAAGGAGTACTACCCCTTTCTATAGCTTATTGCAGATCCCCAAAGATTTCTGACCTGTTTCCCTTTTGGTGCCCTGCTGTTGACTTACCTCACAACTTTAGGGCCCTAAAAATAGTGGTCAGGTTGATTACTGTTAAGATGAATTACCTCCTCTTGAACATAGTTTAGGTATTTTTGTATTGAATTTTTAGATTACCTGTTTTAAACTATGACCAGATGACTTACGTATTTAAAGAATAAAGAGGAACATTGAAAGTATTTTCACATATTTTCCCATATTTGTTTAGTTTTTGAAATTTTGCTCTGCTAACTTACATATGTCTTTACGGGAGTCGACTATGGTATATTCTCCATGGTTTTAATGTGACTCTTATTTGTCACATCTTGGTTTTTAAATGAATTTTTCAAAGGGTATACTAGAACTAAAATAATCTACTGAAGTGGTTTTCTTTAAATAGGCCAGATAAAAACAGGCAGATTTTGAAGAAGACACTATTCCTCAACTGAAGGAAGTTTCAAAGTCAACACGTTAAAAGATTCTTTTTAAAAAGACAGAAATATAGAACCGATAAATTTATACAAGTTTCTCAGCCCCATGCTAACATTCCTCAGCAGGGAGATTTTCATTTATTCACTGAAGCTAGTGCATAGCTGAGGATCAAAAGAGGACTAATGGTATGAGGTCCGGGTTTGTAGTTTCCTGTGTCTGAACTGACTCTTTTTTTCCTTTCAAAGAGAGTTGCTATACTCTGAAGCATTAAATCTTACTGATCAGTGTTGCCCGTGTTTTCCTGATTGCTCCAAAGTAGCAGGTAACCTCATGTGACTGCAGTGCCTTTTTGGGTATGAATTGACACTGTCTTGCACGGTTAATCAGGTTCGAGGCATGCATTATTTGATTTTTTTTTCTGGCTGTAAAACTAGGATTAAGTCTTCCTTCTGACACTTATGCCAGAGAAGTATTTACACATTAAGATTAACACATAGGCTCTGATGCCACAGCAGCCTGAGACCAGAAAGCCCCTCTCTTTCCAAACCCTGCGTCATCCCTTCCCCCTCTGGACACCGAGTCCAACTGTAACTGACACCCTGCCGAAGGGGGCCATCGTAGGCTCCTGTGGTTTAACTCTGGTAGAAATGAAGTTATTGGACCTACCTGAAGGCCAGAGAGGCTACTCACCCCTCTCTGAATCTTTGCCGCTAGACCAGGTATTAAATGTCAGCACTTGGGGAAGATTCACTGCTCACTCTGACCGTGGCCTGCAGAAGGTGACAGTAAAGAGAGTGTGTGTGTGCCTACAGATGTTCCAGTGAACACTGATCTAACAGGAGTAACTGACTGTGTACCTTTTTTTTTTCCTTTAGATGTTTGAGGGAGATATCCACTAGGGTGTACCCTCAAGATTTAACTATTTCCTAACTGGCAAACAATGGAGACATAATCCACTATTTGTAAAGACAGAAACAAAACAAAACAAAAAAACCCAAATCTGGTCAAAACCTGATTATTAAAAAACATTTTAGAAAAATGAATGTAATTAATATGATTTAAATAAATACTACCATGATTCAAATGGGAAATTATTTTTCCTAAAGCAGAGGCTACTAATACCAATGTCTGTAATGTTGACTTTGAATTGCTCTTCAGTGATCTCATTTTCTTTG